AGTACCCAATACTGGCAAACACTCTGGTGTCGAGGTGGTGACAGTCCGCTGCTCAAATACCCCTCTGGTGATGACCCAACGAGCCGCAGTTGTAGGTGGAAAACCAGAAGAGGCCCTCCAGGCCAACAAGGGAAAGGGCACCATCTAGTGGATGGATGGAGACACTAAAAAAGGAAACACAAAAACATTCCCCACAAACAGAACCCTAACATTGGCGATAAAGAAAAATGAAAACGATCTGGTCTTTATCAGGGTCCAAATTAGGTAAATAGATAAAATCTATAATGTAAGTAGCCAGCTCTGTAAACAAAACATCCACTTTCTCTGTTTAGCAAGGCTGGTGTAAGGAATAGTAATGTTTCTAATATAAAGTGTCCAAGAACACACCAGTGAAGTTTAGTTTGGCATTAGGTTAAAAACAGGACGGCTAGGGCAGGTCAGTTTGTTAGCCTAAACTGGACAAACTCTATTGCTGCAGTTCGTCATTTTTCCAGATCACACCTTCGATCGGCACTCTACAGTACTACTACCCTGCTGAAATATAAAATGTCCAGAATCTAGCAGAATCCCACGATACTCTTATGGAGCTAGGGGCTACCCTTCTCGCACTCTTTCCTCACCATGACAAATCTAGATTTTTTTCCGACTTGTGCCCCAGGTAAGGCATCGGACTTACTGATTCTTTTTTTTATGGAGATCAACTCTGGGCAGATTTTGTTGGATTGTATCGCTTTGACATATAGTGTTGAATTAAGCTGTACTAAAGTGTGTTCATATTGACACAGTAACTATAACAATATATTAATGGGGCGGGTTGTTGTGTGATGTGACGGTTTTTCAAAGACGTTTGGGCTGGAAAACCTTGACTCCAGCTGGTAACACTGTCGACAGGCCCCAAAGTACCGCTCATGTACACCAGTCACATGATGCAGAACTCCGGTCCAGATCCTGTAATCAGATTGTTATGCATAGTAAATCTCGTGTACTACCAAACACATCTGATAAAGACCCTTAGTATGCTCTAATTGCTCAGAAATATATACAGTAAATAAATACTTATATTGAAAGATTCAGGCATTTCTGCTTCGAATTCAGCTGTACCAAAAATGGTTGCAAATGTCTCTGTTCCAACCAGTGTTAATTCTGGGATGATGACAAAATATTTCGGCAATGCCCCTTTTTCCCGTAACGATGACGAGACGATGACGTACAAAAACTGTTTCCAGAAAATAAAAAAATGACGAAAATTAAAAAAAGATTTTCGTTAACAAGACTAAGATGTGGAGGTACGTGTGTGTGTGTGTGTGCGTGCGCACCCGCGGGCGTGAATGTTGTGGATTACCCATAATTCCAAGTCGTAGTGTAAAAAATAATATACTCAAATACATTGTTCTTTTAAGATCTTTATTGTGGTTTGAAACACATTATATGAGTGTATTTTTACCAACCATCTAAGGAACTACACACAGTTATTAACATAGTAATTAAAAGTAGTACTGTCTGCTTTGCTTTTGATGTCGTGATTAAACGGCTCACCATCATGGTGAAATCTAGCATGTGTTGCGGTATAAATACGGTCGGCTGCAGTCAGTCACTTCAGTATCAGGTGGGTTTAAGAGGAATGTTTCGCACCATTACATCTGTAAAAGGACGTCCTAGTCTACAATTGCTTAGGGGGCCTACCAGGTGTCAGTGATGGGACCCCTAAGAGGTGATGGGCCCTTAAGCAACTGCTGTCTCTACTTACCAATATTTACGCCATTGGCGTGGTCCATGACTTGTGCAAGGCTAGCATTGCTAATCATAGCTTACACTAGGATTAATGTCTCTGCTAATAACTATATTTAATCACCAATCCCCACAAATAAGACTACTGGTGCAATAAAAAAAATCATGCTAGTATCTGTGTGTGTGAGGCAGTGAAAATTTGAAAATATTTGCAGGGTCAATAAGAATTTGTTGCCACATTATAGCTAATAATGACACAAATTACAAAATAAATAAACTTATCTTCCCTGGAAAGTTACATTATAGAGGTAGATAACTTCTACTAGCAGTGATGTGATTCTCCAAATAGCATAACAAACTTTACTTTGCAACCAAGGCATCGGTGGTGAGCCTGGCCTGTGCTTTCAGTGTACACCATGGTGTGAAGGAATCTGCCAAAAACACTCTTGATTCTCTCTTCTGTGGCCATTCTCTTCTTCTCATACGCTTCATTGACACTTTTTCTCTTACGGNTGGTGTGAAGGAATCTGCCAAAAACACTCTTGATTCTCTCTTCTGTGGCCATTCTCTTCTTCTCATACGCTTCATTGACACTTTTTCTCTTACGGCTGTTGGCCATTTTTAAAAAACCGCGATGAGAAAGGTGAGCTTGTCTCATCCTCTTTACCTTTAACAATGAGAACTTCTGAATATTTTTCTCACTTGTGGCCAAATTTTTGGGCAGGGCACCTAACATGGTGAGGCAACAGTCAACATATGTCTCTGCCACAGATGAACAAGCTGCTTTTAGAGGAGAATCAGATACAATGAAATATTTTCTTTCCTTATCAAAAACATCAGCTTTTTTTTTAGCTCCATGTCTAATTGTCAATGACACATTTAAATTATATTTCAAATATATATAATATACATTATTAAAAATAATAATAATAATAATATATATATATAATATATATATATATATTTTTTTTTGTAGTTTGGATCTATTCAGATTGCATATTAAGGGGGTCCTGATATGAAATATATGTTTTGAAAGCTAAATAAAAAAAAGCTTATTATGTTTTAAGACTGGTTAGTTTAAGCTAGTTAGTCCTTCTCAATACAATCAGAGACTGACATACTAGTCTATACACATATGGATGTGATTTTGCACACGACTTATTTTTTTGTGAACAAATATTCACTTTACCTTTGTGGATTATTAATACTAAGTAAAATTAATCAAAGTGGAAAAAAAAAAAAAACTGGCACCACCCTAAAATTCTATTTGACCGTTAATGACATACATTAAAAAAACAAAAAAAAAAAAAAACCCTGACAGCTGTGTTCATGCTTGGAAGTGGGCCGAGATGTTGGTGGGTGGGGGATGTGCTTTCCAATAAAAAACAGGGGCTCAGAGTTCACATGCTGAACTGAGCCACATTACCATATGCCCCCTTAGTTCTCTGCTGAAAGTTAAAACTATACTGTTAGGTAAAACATACCTGTTTTTATTCACACCTCGTGCATTTGCCTCACAGAAGGTTTGCAAGCTCCGTCTGCTGATGAGGAATCAAGGATTTCTACAAAATAGAAATGTACTTTCTTAAGGCC